CATTTTTCTATAAGCATGCCCCAAATTTCTTTTTACAGCCCCTCCTACCTTCACTTTGTATTGATTTTATTTGTTTGTTTTGCTTTTCATTTTATCTATTTTATTAGCTTGCCCAGTAAGTTTTCTTTTTTTCTGCTTAGCATGCTAATTTTTAAATTTATTTTTTATTTAAATTAGTAACAAGCTTGCTTCACATGTCAATCCCAGCTCCCTTTCCCTCCGTTTCCTCCCTTCTCCACCAACTACCCCAAGCCCACACCCCATCCCCCCTCTGCTCCCCAGGGAGGATGAGGCCCTCCATGGGGATCTCCAAAATCTATCATATCATCCCGGGCAGGGCCTAGGCCCTCCCCCATGTATCCAGACTGAGAGAGCATTCCTCCATGTAGGATGGGCTCCCAAAGTCCATTTATGTGGCAGGGATAAATACTGATCTACTACCTGAGGCCCCAAAGATTGCCAAGGCCTCCTCATTCACATCTACATTCAGGGGGGATGGATAAGTCCCTTGCTGTCCTCTCAGTAATCAGCCTGGTTTTTTTAAGGCATAATACTTAGTGTTTTGATTTTTCCAAACCCCCCATCTCCCTATTTCTCTTTTGTCCTTCTAGCTCACACTGTTCTATGTCCATTATGCTTTCTTTCACTTTCAAAACACATATAATGGTATGTATGTCCTCCCACTAAATCGTCTCATGGGTCCCTTCAAAGTTTCTGGAATCCACCCATACTCACTCCCATATAAATAGAGATATAAAATTTGGAAAATATGCAATTGCTTTAGGGACTGGACATATGTCATTCTGAAATTGAATTACATCACTTAATGGAGTAATTTCCATTTTTCTGCTGTAACCAGTTCCTATGGTATACTACAGTATCTGTTAATGACAAAAGGGTAACTGCAAGTATTTGGTTGGTCTACGGGCCTAAGCTTGTCTCCCCACTATGTTTAAACTTCGTCAGATCCGAGGCTTCACTGCCAGTTCTGTCCCAATTGATTGTCCAGCTGACTTTCTTTCCTGGCTGCTGAGTGAGAGAAGCAACAGTGATCTCTCTGCAACTGCATGGTTCAGCCTGGTGCTCATTCAAACTGCTATTCTCTGCTTCTGCAAGGTGTTCTCAGAGGTTCCTCCCATTACACTGCACTAATGGACTGTCAACAGGCTGCCTTCTTTTCTCCCGTTTCCACTGTAGACTTCTGAATAAGGCATTATTATTCCAGACACAGTTTCAGTGGAGACACTGAATATTTCCCCAGAGCTCTCTTTTGTCAGATGATGAATCCTTATCCTTGACACCTATCCTGGAATTCTTTAGTTTTTTGTGATGTTTTGCATTCTGTGAGATCTTATCACATTAAATGTCTCTTCCGCTTCTAACAGCTCAGAACTGTGTGTGCATACATGCATATGTGTCTATAGGATGTGACATTTTGTCTCTGTGCTTTTCCCCATCATAGTCTTGACTCTTCCCTTGTTCGTATGATTCATATGAACAAATTCTTCAAACAAATTCCAGGACCTCAACCCATTGCTCGGATAAGGGTCAATATATCTGTTTCCAAAATTTACTGGATGTAGGTTCTATGATGACAATTAGTATGTATTAATCTGATTAAATGGGAAGACCCATTTTGACACCCTCCCAATACTGCTAGGAGTCTAAGCAAGGGTCAGCTTTGTAGATTTCTTATAATTTCTCTAGCAGTATTGTATTTGTTTTACACACTGGCATGGCAAGATGTGCTTTTTTTGGGGAGTTGCCATGAAATATATGGTTATGTCTTTTGTTTCTTTTGTTGAAAAGCTTTGTTATAAGAAAGAGAGAGGGAAAGAAAGAAAGAAAGAAAGAAAGAGAGAGAGAGAGAAAGAAAGAAAGAGAAAGAAAGAAAGAAAGAAAGAAAGAGAGAGAGAGAGAAAGAAAGAAAGAGAAAGAAAGAAAGAAAGAAAGGAGAGAAAGAAAGAAAGAAAGAAAGAAAGAAAGAAAGAAAGAAAGGAAGAGAGAAAGAAAGAGAGGAAGAGAGAAAGAAAGAAAGAGAGGGAGGGAAGAAAGGAAGGAAGGAAGCAGAAAGGGAGAAATGATGGAAAGAAGGAAGGAATTGAATTTGGGTTTAGGTTATGGGTTAAATGGCAGCTGGTTTCCATGCATAACCCTCATGGAATCACAGTTTGAGTCCATGATCCCAATATACATCATCCGATATCTCCAAACTGTGAT